CACTCATTTCATTCAGATCAGAAGAAATCAATCATTGAAAAGTAGACAGGGTGGGTAGGCGGGGCTAATTATTTTCTCCTATGCAGTCGGAGTGGAAACTAAGAGAACTTAGGATGTGAAAAAAGTAAAAAAAAAAAACGCTAACTGTAAATTTTTTATTATACTATTTGCTACTGAAACTGTAAAATTGCTATGTTTGAACATGCGATTTTGGAAAAACAATAGAAATTTTCGAAGAAACGAAGCCTAAAATGACTTTTGGATGTCGAAATCTACAAGAAAATGTCTAACTAATTTTCGAAAATGTTTGAAAAATGGTCAAAAATGTCAAAATCAGTCATATCTTATAAAATACTAGCCCCGCCCACCCACCCTCTGTTTTCTTGGAAGATATGTCATTTGCCAAAAATAGTCTTATCTTATCAAGATAACGATTGCAATTTTCGAACAAACGAAGACTAAAATGACCTCTGGATGTCGAAATCTACAAGAAAATGTATAACTAATTTTCGAAAATGGTTGAAAAATGGTCAAAATGTCAAAATGTGTAATATCTTATAAAATACTAGCCCCGCCCGCCCAGCCTCTGCTTTTTTGAAAAATATGTCATTTACCAAAAATAGTCTTATTTTATCAAGATAACGATAGAAATTTTCGAAGAAACGAAGCCTAAAATAACTTCTGGATGTCGAAATCTACAAGAAAATGTCTAACTAATTTTCCTAAATGGTTGAAAAATGGTCAAAAATGTCAAAATCAGTCATATCTAATAATATACTAGCCCCTCCCACCCACCCTCTGTTTTCTTGGAAGATATGTCATTTGGCAAAAATAGTCTTATTTTATCAAGATAACGATAGAAATTTTCGAAGAAACGAAGCCTAAAATGACTTCTGGATGTCATAATCTACAAGAAAATGTCTAACTAATTTTCGAAAATGGTTGAAAAATGGTCAAAAATGCCAAAATCAGTCATATCTTATAAAACACTAGCCCCGCTCACCCACTCTCTGTTTTCTTGGAAGATATGACATTTGCCAAAAATGGTCTTATTTTATCAAGATAACGATAGCAATTTTCAAAGAAACGAAGCCTAAAATGACTTCTGGATGTCGAAATCTACAAGAAAATGTCTAACTAATTTTCGAAAATGGTTGAAAAATGGTCAAAAATGTCAAAATCAGTCATGTCTAATAAAATACTAGCCCCCCCACCCACCCTCTGCAAGATAACGATAGAAATTTTCGAAGAAACGAAGCCTAAAATGACTTCTGGATGTCGAAATCTACAAGAAAATGTCTAACTAATTTTCGAAAATGGTTGAAAAATGGTCAAAAATGTCAAAATCAGTCATATCTAATAAAATACTAGCCCCGCCCACCCACTCTCTGTTTTCTTCGAAGATATGACATTTGCCAAAAATGGTCTTATTTTATCAAGATAACGATAGCAATTTTCAAAGAAACGAAGCCTAAAATGACTTCTGGATGTCGAAATCTACAAGAAAATGTCTAACTAATTTTCGAAAATGGTTGAAAAATGGTCAAAAATGTCAAAATCAGTCATATCTAATAAAATACTAGCCCCTCCCACCCACCCTCTGCAAGATAACGATAGAAATTTTCGAAGAAAGGAAGCCTAAAATGACTTCTGGATGTCGTAATCTAGAAGAAAATGCCTAACTAATTTTCGAAAATGGTTGAAAAATGGTCAAAAATGTCAAAATCAGTCATATCTTATAAAACACTAGCCCCGCTCACCCACTCTCTGTTTTCTTGGAAGATATGTCATTTGCCAAAAATGGTCTTATTTTATCAAGATAACGATAGCAATTTTCAAAGAAACGAAGCCTAAAATGACTTCTGGATGTCGAAATCTACAAGAAAATGTCTAACTAATTTTCGAAAATGGTTGAAAAATGGTCAAAAATGTCAAAATCAGTCATATCTTATAAAACACTAGCCCCGCCCACCCACCCCCTGTTTTCTTGGAAGATATGTCATTTGCCAAAAATAGTCTTATTTTATCAAGATAACGATAGAAATTTTCGAAGAAACGAAGCCTAAAATAACTTCTGGATGTCGTAATCTAGAAGAAAATGTCTAACTAATTTTCGAAAATGCTTGAAAAATGGTCAAAAATGTCAAAATCAGTCATATCTTATAAAATACTAGCCCCGCCCACCCACCCTTTGTTTTCTTGGAAGATATGTCATTTGCCAAAAATAGTTTTATCTTATCAAGATAACGATAGAAATTTCCGAAGAAACGAAGCCTAAAATGACTTCTGGATGTCGTAATCTACAAGAAAATGTATAACTAAATTTCGAAAATGGTTGAAAAATAGTGAAAAATGTCAAAAACAGTCATATCTTATAAAATACAAAAAACAAAAGGAAGATTTAGTTTCTGTTGCGTATTTAACAGTTTAGATATTTTTTATATTAACATTGTAACTTTAACTATTTGTTTTGTATAGGAACGAAATTGAATTTTAAATTTAATTTCTTGTCGAGAAATGAGAATTTTGCAACTAAACTCCGCCCTCTTCAGCTCACGATGAATAAAACATTCATCACAATTGAGAAGGGGTGGGCGGGCGGGGCTTATAATTGCTCCATTTTTTCTTAATATACGAAGTCTTCTTTTCCCAACAAGAAACTGACAATATGTTTAACTAACCTGTTAAAAGAAAACTATATAATATATTAAAAAAAAAACAAACAAAAATTAAGCCCCACCCGCCCCGATCTCAATTGTGATGAGTTTTTCATTCCTAAATATACGGGGGAAGGGGGGGGGGGGGCAGTTTCATTGTGACATATTATTTGCCTAGAAAATTCTATCCTTTTAAAAATATATTTCATATGGTAATTTCTTGTCGAGAAATGAGGATTTTACAATTAAACTCTGCCCTTTAGCTCACAATGAATAAAACATTCATCACAATCAAGAAGGGGTGGGTGGGCGGGGCTTATATTTTGTCCAATTTTTCTTAATTAATGAAGTCTTCTTTTTCCAACAAGAAACCGAAAACATGTTCAGCTTTCCTGTTGTTGAAAGAAAACTCTATATATTAAAAGAAAAAAGAAGATTAAGCCCCACCCACCCGTCCCAGTCTTAATTGTGATGAATTTCATATGGTAATTTTTTGTAGAGAAATGAAGATTTTACAACTAAACTCCGCCCTTTAGCTTACGATGAATAAAACATTCATCACAATCGAGAAGGGGTGGGTGGGCGGGGCTTATATTTTGTCCATTTTTCTTAGTATACGAAGTTTTATTTTTCCAACAAGAAACCGAAAACATGTTTAGCTTTTCTGTTGTTGAAAGAAAACTCTATATATTAAAAGAAAAAAGAAGATTAAGCCCCACCCACCCGTCCCAGTCTTAATTGTGATGAATTTCATATGGTAATTTTTGTAGAGAAATGAAGATTTTACAACTAAACTCCGCCCTCTTCAGCTCACGATGAATAAAACATTCATCACAATTGAGAAGGGGTGGGTGGGCGGGGCTTATACTTGGTCCATTTTTTCTTAATATACGAAGTCTTCTTTTTCCAACAAGGAACTGACAATATGTTTAACTATCCTGTTAAAAGAAAACTATATAATATATTAAAAAAAAAATAACAAAATAAAAATTCAGCCCTACCCACCCGCCTGAATCTCAATTGTGCTGAGTTTTGCATTCCTAATCAGACGAAGGGCGAACTCTACCTTTTTAAAAGGATATTTCATATGGTAATTTCTTGTGGAAAAATTAGGATTTTGCAGCTAAACTCCGCCCTTCAGCTCACGATGAATGAAATATTCATTACAATTGAGAGGGGGTGGGTGGGCGGGGCTTATATTTTGTCCTCATTTTCTTAACATACGAAGTCTTCTTTTCCTAACAAGAAACTGAAAACGTGTTTAACCAACCCGTTGTTGAAAGGGAATTCTATATACATATTAACAAAAAACAAAGATTAAGTCCCACCCACCCAATCTCAATTGTGATGAATTAAGCTTCTATTGCCAATGCTGTTTCCAATGGTTTATCAAAGGAGACGTTTATTAATTGAAGAATTCTTTCTTTATTGCTGGAATCTTCATAGATTTCGAACAAGTTAAACAAGGATGTTCTTTTTCTTTACATTCCGTTTTGAATTTACAATTTTTAATTAATTCTTTCAATCCTGCAACGAATGTAGAAATTGATTCACCTGGTTGTTGAACTCTTAAAGAATTTATGTTCTTCAGCTAAAACATTTTTCTTCGGTGCAAGATGATTTCTTAGAAGATCCATTAATTCTTGGTATAATTTAGATATTTTTTATATTATTCTTTATTTCATTGAAATGTCATATTTGGAAATTATTCTAAAACATAATAACAATTATGTCTTTGTTTTTAACATTGTAACTTGAATAATATCTATAACAGTTTCTCAATCAATCATTTTCGTTTAGTTTTTTTAGGGAGTTGAACGTCCAAGAAATACTGTCTACATCTTGAGAAGGGAGACTGGCTTTAATGCCATTTTTAGGAGTCTATTCTAGCCGTAAATCTAAAACTGCACTTTAATAAAGCATACTAAAGTTTGGAATAAGTGGATTTGGAATGCTCAGAAGTGAATATAAATCTGCAATGAGATTTTGCGATGTAGGTTTTTGAGCAAATAACGCCTGGACAGTTGTAGAGAACTGATTCGTCTGCAACACTCGAATTTATTCTTAATTGACTTTGAATGAGCCACCGCATTAACATTTCTGCAGTCACTCCATCCAGTCCTGAATTTTAGGTAAATTTCAGATCACTAGAACGCTGCATTTCAGCATCACACAGTTATTCCACTAGAGATGTTTACTTTGTATTATAGTAAGCATCTGTTGTAATAATTAACGAAACCCAGAGAACGGTGCAATTTTCTCTGAACTGATACGGACCGAGCTTCGTTTGTTTAGCAGTAATAGAGAATATCGGGTATCCGAATAAATGTTCCTTTATTCTACCTTCCCCGAATAATTGAAGCGCTCTTATCAAAGCACTATTGTTTAAGTGGATGATGAAAGTTCGTGTCTTATTCAGTGCGTTTTGAGCCGGGCGAGACACGACTTTAGCTCGATGAGTAACAACAATAATTAGGAAACATTATGCATGCTTGCATCGGTACTTAATTGGTTAATTATGTCGTAGTCGACTGTAAAAAATAATAGACTCGCATTAATGAAACGGAGCGGAATTTCAGTCACCGAATTTTCAGCGAGGCAGGAATTTCCTGAAACATAACCGAGGACACGTCCAAACCCTGAGGTGGCAGGTCAAAAGTCGATTGGTTATTCTCAGTAAACATCCGATTTCAGTAAACAATCCAGCAATTTTACGATTGTCTCTTAAACAAATAAAACTCTGCTTTTGAATAAAGAATACGATACGACGCTGGCTGAAACTAATTGTCTTTGGCGTTATTTCCTCATTCGACATTCCAAAATCGTTGTTCATTATCGATTTCGGCATACCTAGCTGAAACTTATCCTGGAACGTCATCGAATTATAGCGAGACGAGTGGATAATTCAGAATTAGAATTCACCCCTCTTGTTTACCCAAGCCGAAATATCGAAACCCTGGATTGTCTATCGTATTTTTGCGGGATAAGAACGCCGATTTTGTCAATTATACAAGCGGCTTCCAGAAAGGTCACAAGTTCGCGAATTGGACGAGAAACCGCAAGATGGAACACGTTGATGCAGAACAGGAAATTCTCGGCTTGCCGACCCATCCATTGTTCGTTCTATCTGGGTCACGTGTAAGGGGAAAGTGTCTCATAAGCGAATGGTTTGAATGAAATAGTACTTCCGAAGGGGTTGTTTATTGGCTGGAGATGGTGTATAGATGGTGGAGGTGGAATTGTGATTTATTTACATGGAAATAGCTTCAATATCTGAGACGCAAGATGTTTCGTGAGGTAGAAATGTTATTACGCATTCACTAGAACGAGTGAGGACTTGTGGGGTTGATTAATTCTGTCATTTATACATTTGGCAGGTAATCGATACAATTTTCTCACACGTCATATCCGTCTCGTGTCTTTTATCTGGACGACAAGGTGAAGACCCATTTGTCGGCGATAGCGGCAACCTAACATTGAGAATATCCCGTGTCATTTATGGAATAAACATTTTGAAAATGGGTTGTTCTGATCCAGTGGGGGTTATTTTGGGAGTAATAACGAAAATTGTGCCGATTAACAACCATTATTAACAACCGTTATTGCCAAATCTTGCTTCATCGCTGAACAAAACATTGAATAAAAAATTGTTGTCCAACTCTAGTTGATGTTGCATAAAATTGCAAAATTGTTTTCTTCTGAAAAAGTCTTCTTCTTTTAGATCTTGTACTAATGTTACATGGTACGGGTGAAACTTATTCGCTCTCAAAATTTTTGAAACGGAAACAAATTTTGTCTTAACGGTTTTTCTAAACATCTAAAGATTTGGTCGGATGGATGTCGCCTATTTGTTATTCGAAGTTACAAAGGTAGAAAGGCAAATATCACAATTTTATAAAAAAATTTTGGAACAACAAAGACAAAATTCAAACTGGTGTCATTGATGTTCCAGTTTAAAAAATATGTAAGGTCAAGTCAGGTCAGGTCAGGTCAGGTCAGACTGAGTCAGAATCAGATGATTTTGAAATAAAGCTTAATAATACCTCATCTACAGTGTATGGACCAATCTACTTGTCTCAAACAGCTTTAGACGAATCAAAACAACTTATTTTGCAATTTTATCCAAAAACAAATGTTTCTAAAAAATTTCTTTAATTTAATCCTATGTGGTTTAAAACCAGTGTTGCCAGACGTAGCGGAATTTTACCATTTAACTCCGGCAACACTGTTTAAAACGTATCCGTGTATAGAATACAATGTAATGAAATGAATTAAGCTCCACCCCTCAGCTAACGACGCATAAAAAAAATCATCAGAATGTAGATAGGGTGGGTGGGCGGGGCTTATATTTTGCTTTTTTTTTTCTTAATATACGTAGCCATCTTTTCACAACAAGAAACTTAAAACATGGTCAAAACGGTACATTTTTGCAAGGAAATATGGATTCTGCAATTATGGGGCGGAGCTTAATTGCAAAATCGATATTTCCTTATAAAAATGTTCCATGTTTTAAGTTTCATGTTGTGAAAAGAAGTCTACACATATTAAAATAAACACGCAAAATATAAGCCCACCCACCCGCCCTGTCTCAATTGTGATGATTTTTTTTATTCGCTGTGAATCAAGGGGGTGGAGCCTAACTGCTAAATACTTATTTCTGTACAAGAAATTAAAAATGTGTTTTTGAGTTTCGTGTCGTCCAAATATTACAATATATATTAAGAAAAACAGGCAAAATATTAACCCCGCCCACCCACCCCATCTCAATTGTGATGATTCTTTTTATTTTGAAAAACTTAAAACATGTTTAAAATGGTGTAAATTTTTGTAGGGAAATATGGATTTTGCAATTATGCTCCACCCCTAAGTCTGGCAACGAATGGAGACTTCATTACTACATATTTAGATCAGGGCAGGTATGGGTGGGGCTTAATCTTTGGTTTAATATGATAATTTCTTGTACAGAAATAATAAGGATTTTGCAATTAATTTCCGCTCCTTTGGCTCTCGACCATAAAAAAATGTGATGATTTTTTTTATGGTCGAGAGAAGATTAAGCCCCACCCACCCGCCCCAGTCTCAATTGTGATGAATTTCAAATGGTAATTTTTTGTCGAGAAATGAAAATTTTGTAACCAAACTCCGCCTGTCAGCTCACAATGAATAAACATTCATCACAATCGAGAACGGGTGGGTGGGCGGGCCTTATATTTTGTCCAATTTATCTTAATATACGAAGTTTTCTTTTTCCAACAAGAAACTGAAAACATGTTTAGCTTTCCCGTTGTTGTAAGAAAACTCTATATATAAAAAAAAACGAAGATTAAGCCCCACCCATTTGCCCCAGTCTCAATTGTGATGAATTTCAGATGGTAATTTTTTGTACAGAAACGAGGATTTTGTAACTAAACTCCGCCCTTCAGCTCACAATAAATAAAACATTCATCACAATTGAGAAGCGGTGGGTGGGCGGGGTTTGTATTTTGTCAATTTTTTCTTAATACACGAAGTCTTAAAAATATGTTTAGCTTTCCTGTTGTTGAAAGAAAACTCTATATATTAAAAGAAAAAAGAAGATTATGTTTTGCTTTTTTTTTCTTAATATACGTAGCCATCTTTTCACAACAAGAAACTTAAAGCATGGTCAAAAAGGTACATTTTTGCAAGGAAATATGGATTTTGCAATTATGGGGCGAAGCTTAATTGCAAAATCGATATTTCCTTATACAAATTTTCAATTTTAAACATGTTTTAAGTTTCGTGTTGTGAAAAGAAGTCTACACATATTAACACAAACACGCAAAATGTAACCCCACCCACCCGCCCTGTCTCAATTGTGATGATTTTTTTTATTCGCTGTGAATCAAGGGGGTGGAGCCTAACTGCTAAATACTTATTTCTTTACAAGAAATTAAAAATGTGTTTTTGAGTTTCGTGTCGTTCAAAGAATACAATATATATTACGAAAAACAGGCAAAATATGAACCCCGCGCACCCACCCCGTCTCCATTGTGATGCTTTTTTTTATTAATAGAAACTTAAAACACGTTTAAAATGGTAATTTTTTTTAGGACAATCTGGATTTTGCAATTAGGCTCCGCCCCTAGGTCTGGCAACGAATGAAAACTTCAGTACTACATATTTAGATCAGGGCAGGTATGGGTGGGGCTTAATCTTTGGTTTAACATGATAATTTCTTGTACAGAAATAATAAGGATTTTGCAATTAATTTCCGCTCCTTTGGCTCGCCACCATAAAAAAAAATGTGATGATTTTTTTTATGGTCGAGAGAAGATTAAGCCCCACCCACCCGCCCCAGTCTCAATTGTGATGAATTTCATATGGTAATTTCTTGTAGAGAAATGAAGATTTTACAACTAAACTCCGCCCTTTAGCTCACGATGAATAAAACATTCATCACAATCGAGAACGGGTGGGTGGGCGTGTCTTATATTTTGTCCAATTTTTCTTAATATACGAAGTGGCGTGATCGATTTTTTAGGGGGGGGATGAGCAAATATATTTTGATCAAAAATTTACCATGCCCATGATAACTGTAAAACATCACCAAGATTTCAAAGCATTCGGTTTTGCAGATTCCAAATTAATTGTCAAAATGTTGTTTCCTAATTTTGATTTTTTTTTTCCAAAAATCTGGACGTTTCGGGTAAAATCTCAATTCGGAGTATAAACTACATGTGTAAGACTATGTTATTTGATACAATTTAAAACCCATTTACTATGTACAAATTTGAAGTGACGTCATCACATTAGTGGTGGGGATGATTAGACAAATTTTGGTTAGCGTTTTACCATCTACATGATATACCTAATATAAATACAAAATTTGACAATAATCGGCCCAGTACTTTCGAAGATTATCTGTCTAATAAAAATCCGGGACGGCAGACAGACGGACAGACAGACGGACGGACAGACAAACGGACGGACAGACAGACGGAAAAGAAGTAACTCGTCAAAAATTTGTCAGATTGAACTCCTGACCTTCTGTTGAAATCATTGTGTTTTTTAATGACAATGTAGCGCATCAAATCTCTAAAAACATAAAAATTTCCTAATATTGATGTAAGTATATGGTAAATAATAAATAAAAAACCTGAATTATGATTAGGTATTTGGCTTCCTAGTATAACAAAACCCTAAGATAACGTAAACCGTAATGTTACATATTGTTTTATTATTACTTTAATCATTTGTCAATGTTATGCGAAATTTCGATGCTGTGTCAACTCAATTTACGTCAGTCTTTTTTATTTTTGGAAAATGTTTACCCACCGCTGGCGAAAACAATAGCAAAATTCCATTCATTTTTGCACGATAAATGATACTGCACCTTTGTGTTTTATTTACACCTTAAAACCGAGTTTTATCTCCAGATTAGCAAATCTCAGATTTTCAAACGTTTACACTTTTTGCGATAATTGTGTTTATTGTGAATTTATAACCGCATTGTTTTCGTCGAAAACAAATACGAGAGACTTTTACCGGGTTCAGGAGGACGTTTCGTGGTGAATACACTTATCATTTTTCTCCCAACTGAACAAAACCATAAATTTGTCATTAATTTTGCACCTCATTAATTTCATCCCTTATTCGGTAAACGATGCTTTAGAAAACGTAATCTCCAACAAATGCCTCCCGTAATGATGGTTAATTTGCGCAATTTTTTTCGTGACGTTATTTTCTGTTTTTATCGTTAAAACGACACTAAAACATTAAGGGTGAGATTAGCTTTGGGGGCTTAAATGCGGATTCTAATGACCGGAAAGAATGGCAGCCGTTTTAAGAATTCTACGGAGAATTTTTACTCCCTGAGCGTAACGTGGTTCATCCAATGAATAGCGATTTCGTGTTTTTCAGACGTTTCATAATTTCTAGAATATGAAAAAGTAGGGCTTCCTTAGACGTAGTTTGCTTCACGCTATATATTGACCTTATTACACTTAAATAACATCAAAATAACAATGTTATGATGACGTTATGTTGCGGTTATTACATATGCTTTTTCAATTTTTTTTCTTCAATTATTCGATTTATCAAATTTTTAGATGTCCGATATTTCATTTGATTTTTTAATCTCTCGATTTTGTGACTTTTCGAAAAATTGAACAGATCTAAAAACTGAGAAATAAAAAATTTGAAAAAGCGAAAAACTGAAACATCGAAAATCCGTATGATCAAATAGTCGAAAAATTAACAAATCTCAAGAATCGAAAAAGCTAAGAACCAAAATATCAAAAAATTGAAAATTCCTGAAATTAAAAGATCTAAAAATTGAAAAAATTTATATAACTAATCGAAAAGCTGGGAACTGGAAAAATTTTGAAAACCCAGACAATGAATAATTGAAGAATCGAAAAACTGAAAAGCCTAAAATTTGAGAAACTGAAAAGTTAAAAGGTGGAATAGTCGAAAATTTGTATAATCGAAAACTTGGGAAATGGAAAAATGAAGAAACCGAGACAACGAATAATCGAGAAATGGATGAATGACAAATTGAGGACGAGAAAGACAGAAATCGAATAGTCGAAAAATAGGAAAATCCAGAAATTGAAAAACCGCAAAAGTTAAAAATTGAAAAATCTAGAAATTGAAAAATC